GCCTCCCCTGTCGCCCGCCAGGCCCGAGGACGCCCGGCTCTGCGGCCGGCGCGCCCCGGCCGGGCTTCTGCGAGGAAATGGCATCTCCGAACTTCGTCGGAGGCCACAGCGGGCATCTTGGCCTCGCAGCCAGGGATCTGAAAGAGGAACGTACGATCCGAGAAAACTTTATAAGCGGGAGCTGGAGAGTTCTCGGCCGGCTTGTGGAGACCCACATTCCCCGACTCCGTGTCCGTGGTCTGGACACCTGTTTGTTGAATGCCCCAACTTCAAGTTTTAATGACTTGACTCTTCAAGAAAGAGCGTTGAGGAATTTCATACAGCCAAGGAGGGTGGGTAGGAGCGGTGAGAAGGCTGGACCTGATTTAGACGTTACATTTTAGGAGAAGGAGCCCTAGTGTGATTGTACTTTGGATTTGGTCACTGATTCCACATCCATCGGTTGGGCTGTGTGACCTGAGGCAACCTAGGCAACCTCTCTGAGTCTCAGACGTATGATCTTTAAAAGGCGGTGGGGCTGCATCTCTAACGTCTCATCTAGTTGTGACGTTCTTTGACTTTTACAAAACTGTTGTCCCTGTTCGTTGTTAGGTTTTACAGTTATCCTACTAAGGAGAATCTGTAGGCGCAGGCTTTGATCTTCAGTCAGTGAGACATTGGGTTTATTTTGATGTCATAATCACTGAAAAGCACTCATTAATCATGAGAGCTAACCGCAAACAAAAGGAGTCTCATCCTTTTGAGACAAGACCCCTAAAAGGCACTCAACTGCACAAAGAATTTCAGATAGAAGGTGTAAACATGAAGCTAATGTATAGTCTTAACAGCTGCATCATGGACAAGCACCATCGCCACAGATTCAGCTTTAAAAGACAAGATATGGTATGTGCAGGAGACAAAATTTACCCTTTCTCTAGTAAGTTTTGAGGAAAATTCGTAATTAGAAGATCCAAACTAGGATAGGCTGAGGAAAATTTTGTACAGAAGGTACATCTAAAGAGAAACTCACCATCCCCTCCCCTCAGCTGGAATGTAAGCTCCATGCAGACAGGAATTTTATCCACTTCACTACTGTATCCTCTGGTACCTGACAATGACTGGCAAGTGTTCAAAATTTTATTGTTGTTGAATGAATGCATGCATGAATAGACAGACTGGAAGTGACCGTAGGATGATGAGATTGACAGAGTTTTGTTCAAAACTAAAGCCTAAGCTAGTTGTATGATAAAGCAAATTGGGTCTTACCTTCTACCTTGTTGAGAGATGAGCTTTGGAAATATCAGTCAGTATGGAAATGTAGAATTTTTATTACATAAACCTTAGTGCAAGGAGAGTGGTTGAGCAAAATCATTGCTAAGAGATTTTGAATTCTTTATTGTAATTCCCTAAAGCTAGAGACTCAGAAATAGTATGTAAATCAAGAGAAGCAAATTGGCCTTTTTTTAAATGATTCATCAGAAATAAAAAGACCATTTTACTTGGCTATGGATTTTTACATCAATTTGACTTCCAAATTCTGACTACTTAGTTGCTACATACCACAATTATTTGGAGGGCATTCTGAAATTTCACATTCCCAAACCCCTCCCCAGATTTACGGAGTCAGAATTATTGGGAATGAGGTCTGGAAATCTGTCTTTAGATGCTCTCTTGGTGATTCTACAGCAATGAGAATTGTGCATTATATTCCATATGCCTCCAGTATGACAAAATTGCTAACAAAAATATTCCTTCACTTTGCTATTGTAGTCTTTATCCATGAGACTTGGTTATGAATTCGAGTCGATCTTTACTCCCTCTTTCATACAGAGAGATGCAGGTAAATCTATTGTTGGTGGGCTTACCCCACTGTTTAAAAATACATGCTCAGTCATGCCTAAAACTCCGTAGAAATACATTTTAGGGTCAGCAAATTTTTTCTGTGGAGGGCCAGATAATAAATATTATAGGTTTTTCAGGCCATGTGTTCTCTGTCACAACTATTCAACTCTGCCATTATAGAAGGAAATCAATCATAGGCAATATGTAAACAAGTGGGTATGGCTGTGTTACAATAAAACTTTATTTATAAAAACAGGCAATGTGCTGAATTTGGTCCAGAGACTAATCTGCTGACTCCTAGACTAGAGGTTGGATCACATAAAGGACTTTAGAGCTCAGGGACAGGCCTAGGCTGCAGATATAAATGAAGGAAGTCTTACCTAAAAATGGATAAACTACCTAGGACTAATGAGAAATGAGAGTCAAGGACAGAATACAGGAAAACAGTGACATTTTAAAAGATGGGTAGAGATAGAGGAGTCTGTAAAGGAAATTGAGAGGGAATGGAAAAAAACAACAACAACCCAGGAATGTCAGGGCAATAAAGAAAAAAGAGAAAAATGATAACATGATCACATGCTGCAGAGAGAAGTACTCATTTCTGTCATCACCCATCCTTGGCCTGGAATGTACTAAACTCCTCCTCGTGTTGTTTTGCCATATTTTGGAGTATTGAATTTATAGTTTATGCTTTAAATATATTACATCTCAAATTTTGTCTTTTTGTATTGTGGAAGGTAGCACAGTGAAATGTTTAAGTGTAAAGAATCTGATATGAGGTGGTTTAGATTTACATGCAAACTTTTTTCAGAAAAAAAGAAAATATTCCTTTAAGTTCTATTTTTCAAGAATTTAAAATCAAAGATCTATTTAAAATAGAATAGAAATAAAAATCAAAGCCAATTCTAGGTGTTTGGAAGTTTTGCAACATTGATTTGAGTCCTTTCATGATATTATTGCAAACGTGGTCAGCTTAGCAACCTCTATACATTAGTCAACCACATCTAGAAGCCCTTTGTAGACAAATATAGATGGGCCATTAAAAGCTCAAAACTGGAGGGAATCACAACAGCAAACTTATGGGAATGGTTTTATGAGTCCGGATTCAATCAGGAGACAGAAAACATACAGTAATTTGAATAGGGTAAGTTTAATACAAAGAATTATTAACTATAGCAGGAGATTGCTGTAGGGAGGGAATGGATAGTTAGAAGCCAAAAAAAAAAAAAAAAAAAAAGGGGGGGGGGGCTAAAGAATATGGGAAAAGCAGGAGCACCGGCCTGGCTCAGTTGGTAGAGTATATGACTCTTGATCTCAGGGTCCTTATTTCAAGCCTCATGGTGGGTGCAGAGATTACTTAAGTAATTTTTTTACAAATGGGAAGAGCAGATATGAGGAAGAGCCACTGCCATTAAGGCTGAGATAGAGCACCCAAAGAAAAGTTGCCTCCCTTTCCAGGCTGAGATTCTGACAATGTAGAGTACCAGAGGAAGCTGTTGGCCCTTGGGTGCTGCCTGCATTGCAAGAGCCTGGCCCTGGATAAGTTGCCAGCACTACAGAAGCTGGACATTGGAGAAGACATGGGTGCTGCAGGAGCCCACCAAGAGGAGCATCTGCAACAGGAAAAAAAAAAGCCCCTTCCTCCTGCAATATCCCTCCAGCACCTGCTACTGACAAAGTTTAACATCATTCCAACTGGTAAAGGAAAAATATATTTTTTTAATGTTTATTTATCTTTGAGGGACAGAGAGACAGAGCACGAGCAGGGGAGGGGCAGAGCAAGAAGGAGACACAGAATCCGAAGAAGGCTCCAGGCTCTGACCTGTCAGCACAGAGCCCGATGCAGAGCTTGAACTCAAGAACCATGAGATCATGACCTGAGCCGAAGCCAGACGCTTAACCGACTGAGCCACCCAGGTGTCCCTAAAGGAAAAATATTTAAAGAGTCCATCTTAATTTTTATGAAGGATAAATTGGGGTTGAGAGGCAATGAATTGATATTCACACAATGCTAGTGTGCACTTTAACCTAGGAAAGATCCCTAAGTGACCTCATATCAATAGCACCTCTGGTTCTGGAATATGCTCTATCAAAAAATGGTGCCTTCCAAATTTTTGCTATCTTGTTTTAAAAATTTTTTTGTTTATAAATTTTTTTTAACGTTTTTATTTATTTTTGGGACAGAGAGAGACAGAGCATGAACGGGGGAGGGGCAGAGAGAGAGGGAGACACAGAATCGGAAACAGGCTCCAGGCTCTGAGCCGTCAGCCCGGAGCCTGACGCGGGGCTCGAACTCATGGACCGCGAGATCGTGACCTGGCTGAAGTCGGACGCTTAACCGACTGTGCCACCCAGGCGCCCCTAAAAATTTTTTAATGTTTAG